GACTCCCACCCCCCCCCCCCCTCTAATGACCTTTCTCGTGTTATCCTGTATCACTGTGTCAGGTTTGATGCCGATTGAACAAGAAATGTGGAAACGTATAAGGAACAGATACACATATATATTGACGTTTATTTATAGAGATTGTGTATTTTATGCCTGTACTTTAAGTTACGTTCCAATAACGGTCGTTTAGACGAAACGTTGGTCATTTTACCGAATATTTTATCTATTAAATTTCACTGTCGACATACACACACACATGTAGAAACAAAATATAAGATTGACACAAATCATGCTGGAATTTTCAACATACTTTAAGACTCGTACAGTCCTTCATAACTGTCCATTACAATTAAAGATGTTAATCCCTGGTAGCGTCACCAGTACTCATTCTATTATTATTATGCTGGATTATTGGAGAATAATGTTTTTGTTTCGTCTAAATCGCGTACGTGTATGTAATACAAGATGGTCACTCTCAGTGAAAGCTGTAATAGCACGTATGAACAAAACGGCCACTCTCTGTGAAAGCTGTAATAGCACGTATAAACAAGGCGGCCACTCTCTGTGAAAGCTGTAATAGCACGTATAAACAAGGCAGTCACTCTCGGTAAAAGGTGTAATAGCACGTATAAACAAGACGGTCATTCTCGGTGAAAGGTGTAATAGCACGTATAAACAGAAAAGCTGTTTAAACGCACTTATGTATAACGTTTGAAAAGATGTTCACGGTTTCATAGATATTAACTAAAAGATGGAATTAGGAATGTAACAGAAATTTGGGGCAATTACATAAGAAGTTATATATTGTGTTTATCAACGTAATGTTGTTAAGTTTTATGGTTCGTTCTTATAGAAATGCGCTTAATTAGGCTTGAATTAAAAGTAGTGTTAAAACAAAGGAAGAAATATGTCTGAGATCAAGACAAGGCGGTGTACATGCTGATGGAATGGAAATAGTGCCTGTAATTAATGGAGTGAGACTTGAATGATGAGTAAGCGCATATTTTACATTTTCGTGTGGGAGGAGTAAAAAACTAGTATTATAGTTTAGTATAGTATTATACAGATATATATATATATATATATCTGTACCAGGCCCGGCTCCAGCTCCTCTCCCTTTGGAGGAGGGGGGAGTGGAGCTTCTGTTGATTATTCTTAGGAATAAAAAAAAATCATACTAGTTTTAAAGTTGATAATATGTTGTTGTGTTTCTTTTTGTTTTGAGTCGCAAGGGAAATTGAACTTAGGTGGGCCAGAGTGAAATTTGGAGATGCACGGCCCATCACATCACACACCCTAGCCCCCGCCGGCCCTGATCTGTCTTATTATAAAAGCAACCTAAACTATAAAATAAAAAAAATGTACCAAAATCAAATCATATATAGCTATAAAGTTTACCCCTCAGCGCATATAGGCAACTGCTAGAAAAGAAGAAAAAAAAAGGCTGAACAAAATAACTGTAATATGTTATATTATGCAATTGTATTTTGTGTTACCATAGCTTCGATACAGAAACGAAGTGCTTAACATTGGTTGGTTGAGGATCGGCTTATTTTTTAACGTTGGATCGTTGAGTAGTGGCTTGTTGTTAAAAAATCTGGCAATCCTGTCTCTGGCTAATAAATTTAAACGAAGCCAGACACTATCCGTATATTCATCTAGGAATCATTCTTAAACAGAACTTCAAGAAACTCACTTCATATAGTCTCACAAGCAACTTATAAATTTCTCATCGCTCACATTTCCTGCCTACAAACTTATATTTTTGTCTTTGAATTTCGCACAAAGGTACAAGAGGGCTCTCTACGCTAGCCGTCCCTAATTTAGCAGTGTAAGACTAGAGGGAAGACAGCTAGACATCATTACCCACCGCCAACTCTTGGGCTACTCTTTTACCAACGATTAGTGAAATTGACCGTCACATTATAACGCCCCCACGGCTGAAAGGGCGAACATGTTTGGTGTGACGGGAATTCAAACCCGCAACCCGCAGAATGCGAGTTGAGCGCCCTAACCACCTGGCCATGCCAGGCCACTTATTATGTATTTAATTTACTTCAAGTTTGGTTAAACACTGTGGTAATACTGATGTTAAACTAGCTGAGAAACCCGTCCCCTGAACGGAAGTTATGTAAATTCATGAAAGGTTATTTTACGACGTGAAAAGTTGCTTCTCTTATATGCAAGTGTAAAAAACGCCCATAAAAACTGCAAAACACAAAATGTGTACCCGCAAGTTTGCATTATCTCCGCATGGACCCAAAAAACCTTCAATGCCAAATTTCGTGAAGATCTACCAACAGGGGGTGAAGTAGTAGTGCAAAATGCAAAACTGAAAATGTGTACGTACCCCCCGCATGGACCTAATGAACCTCTATACCAATTTTGGTGAAGATCCATCCACACCCTGCGAAGTAGTTACATGGACAGACAACAGACAGTACTATTATATTTATATAGATACTGTAGCAATTATAATAAAATCAGTCAAAGATATTCTATCTTTTTTTTCCAAGATTATATTCAAATAATTCATTCCTAAAATTTTGTTTTGAAACTAAGTGGTCTTAAATTAATTATTTTCACGATTACAGATAAGCTCAAAAAAGCTTATATTACAAAATTAACGTATTCCAATAGGCCTAACATTTGTGAGCTGTATGATTTTATTTTATACATTCCTCTTAATCTTTCCATTTCAGTTTTAAAACCAGAGGGGTATAAAAACAGCATTTTAGACATATCCTTTATCTAAATTAAATAGTTTCTATACCTTATCGGCCTTACTTTTTCCTGTTACATTTCTCTTATGTATTGGAACAATTTCGCATACACAAGAAATTCGTGATTTCCTACAGTTCGACTGTATCGTACGATCAACCATTCTTCATTTACAAAACTATCTGATTTTGTTTATAATTACCAAACACTGACATGTGCAGTCACGCGCACTAATGGTTACCAGGCCCTAATGACAGGACTGTTTACGTTACCAGGCTATCTTTTGGTCACAAGTCACTGCCAAAGAGGCCTTTTAACCAATACCAAAACTAGACAGGTGGACTAGACGATGAGAAACAAAAACCAATTTGAAATGTTATTCAATATACACAGTCAGTATCGCCCACAAAGGGGGTAGCCAGGTAACTTGTACCGTGAACGGCATTCAGGGGGAACCGAACAACTTTGGTTATTTGGCATACATCAACGCGTCACGTATATAAAACACAACATTCCACTATGCGACCATCCCGATCATGTCAGCGTACACTCATCCTTGGGTCATTCGCAATCTGATTTTCGTGGAGAAAAGTAATTTTTTGAACCAGTCCACGATTCGGGAAAAAGGGGCATATTTTTGTCAAAACCTTCACAAAATTTGTGCAAAATGGGGAAGGATTCAGCACATCTGAAGGGAGTCCAGCTGTTTTTATTCCGTCTTCGAAATACGATATAGAATTAGATATTTTGATGTGTTGGAGTACATGCATATCAGATTGAAGTTTAATATTGAATTGATGAGCTCTGCAGTTTTAAAATTGTCACACGTGTGTACCACCATGATTCTTGTTTTAAGTATGTGATGACATGCTTATTTATACAACTTTCGTCGTCTCATTCAGTGATTAACAAACGTGGATATGATTAATCAGACCTCAACTAACGAAAGTCTTATGAAACAGTTGAACATTTATTGTTGTTTCCACTTCAGTGTGCCTTAGATGTCAAACATGTTCAATCATTTTTACAATACAAATTCAGGTCAAAACGGAATGGCCCTGAGCGAAAGTAACTTTGCTTTGGGAAGTCTTTTCACAAACACCAGAACTACATTTGGGGAGTTTCATTGTGTTTTTTGAAGCAAGATATCGATCACTAAAGTTACACAGGTGTTATGTGAGAAATTGATCAAGTGTATTTTCTCTTGTTCCAAATTGCCACGGAAATATGGAAAATTCTATACGATATTGGAAGTTTCTCATTGCTTACAGACTAATTTTGATATGCATTCGCCAATATTCATATTCGAAAGTCATAAACAAAATATGTTAAATATTATGTTTTAGGTGCCAAAAATAATTTTGAGTTCGTAATAATGTGCCAATTTTTTTGGCTTCAATAGATAACGCCTGTACTAACATTCAAGCACACCATAATCAATAAATGGGTTTTTTTCCGTAACATTTAAGTATAACAAATAATATGTTTTCATAAAAAATATTTTGTGCCATTACGAAACACTTACCTTTTTTGTCAACACGAGATGGACTAATATAATGTGATATTTATGCTAATTCATTATTCTATAAAATTTTTGAAGATAGCCAACATTATTCACAGATATTGCGCCCCACACAATCACCATAACCTCCTGCTGGGTTGATTGTTGGCAAAAGGCCAACCTCTTCGACAAACACACGAAGGCTGGTTGGAAACAAGCAGTTAAAATGTATACTCGTCTGTCCAAAGCACCCTGTGCTACTGTTTTAAAGATCAGGATACAAGTTGTTTTTTGCGCAGTAGGAATTTTCTTGTTGCTGCTCTTCCCCAAAGGTCA